ATTTTATGTACTCTGAATGCATGTAGACATTGAAATAACTGGGGTATCGACATTATAAATTGATTGGAAATATCTACCCGATATTACTTAGAGTGGTCCACGAAATAATAGGAATGCGATATTTTGACTCCTTTTATTTTGTGCACAACTGTTATGTACATGCACAACTGTTATACAGGGTGTCCCAGAAGTAACGTGCCAAACTTTAGGTGAAGGTAGGTGGGGGGTGAGCTCAGTGATAAACAAAAAATTTTCAGGTAAAAGTGTCACCATTTTTGAAATATTTACATTTTTTCGAATTTAAAAAAAATCGTGCCTTTTCATGTGTTTTCTTTAACTGCAACTACAAACCGGGCAATACTTAGTAAATTTTTTATGTAAAATACTTCCAGATAGTTGCCTCTCCATACTCAAATGCAATTCCGGTAAGTAACACAAAATAATGTCAGGAGCAGGTAATAATGTACCTTTGTACTATTTAGCATGTCATTTGACGGTAACAAGAGCAAATTCAATTTAAATCTATTAAATACATTCTAGCGTGTCTCAGTCCTTTACCCACAAAAGTGGCTATAACTTTTTTTGTCTATTCAAAACATTAAATGTGGCACCTTTCTGAAATCTTTGTTAAATGAGCAATTTTTTGTGTAATATAATGTTAAAGCTCAGTACGTTTTTTTTCACCAGAGATAGTCAAAGTTGGGGAAGAAAATATCAAAGAGTTAAAACTCCCAAAATAGTNTTAAGTAAATAACAAACCGTCACCTGAAATGCAAAAAGACGTAAGAATATCGTAAATTATATTGAAAAAGTCGTGACTAATATTTTAATTATTTTTTTCATAAAATGATGTGGGAAGTTGTAACTCGTTGAAATCCATTATATAAATCAAAAAGTAAATTTTGAATTTTTTATTAGTTATGACTTTTTGCATTTTNCCTATTTTACCTGAAAATTTTTTGTTTGTCAGGGAGCTCACCCTCCCACCTACCTTCCCCTAAAGTTTGGCACGTTACTTCTGGGACACCCTGTATAATGCATTATTTCAACTCATTTAAAAGTTAAATACGGCATTAATTGTAACTTTTTTGTTGTAAGTTTGTTGTGGAAAGAAAAACTTATTTAACTTTTTATNTGAGCTCAGTGATAAACAAAAAATTTTCAGGTAAAAGTGTCACCATTTTTGAAATATTTACATTTTTTCGAATTTAAAAAAAATCGTGCCTTTTCATGTGTTTTCTTTNCATAAGTACATATTTAAGTTTCACTAGAAAATTTCAGTAGGCGGTAAGAAAACTAATAAAATAAAGGCAAACTATTTAGAAGTTTTTATTAAATTACCATTTCATTTATTGCAAAAACAGTACAATAAAATTAAATTAGTTAATAATAGCTACCAAAGCTAAATGAAAATAAAATAATTCATTAAATAATTAATACGGTGATATTTTTTTTTAATATTCGCAATGTTTTTCATGCTATATATTTTTGTGAATTTTTCGTTTTGTTTAAAGAATGGCTCATATTTTAGCAAATTCTATACAAATCCAAGCTTCACACTGTATATGTACATAATTTAGAAGTATTCTGCCAAGTTGCATCCAAATGGCAAGATTTTTAATAAGCATTTCCAAAAAAAAGTATGTATCCATCCCAAATTTATTATAATAATGTGCAAATTTGAAATGTCTGAAAATGCGCGTTGTTTTATACTAATTTTTTGCTGTCCTATGCATTTTTACCATATAAAAAATGTTTGAAAATGCTTTATATGGGAAAAATTCACAGGACAGCAAAAAATTATTAAAAGAACAACCCAAATTTTTAGACATTTGAAATTTGCAAATTATCATAATAAAATTGGGATGCATACATACTTTTTTTTGGATATTCTTATTAAAAATCTTGCGATTTGGATAAAACTTGGCAGAATACTTCTAATTTATGTATACAGTGTGAAACTTAGATTTGTTTAGTATTTGTTAAAATATGAGCCATCCTTTGAAAAAAAACTGATCAAAAATTTATAGCATAAAAAACATTGCGAATATTAAAAAAAAGCGTATACTCAAGGCACGAACACTTATCACTAGAAATAAATTCAGAAAACAAGATTCAACTAAGAACAATTCATTTGAAAAACAAAAAAGTAAAAAGGCACCAACAAATAAGTTAATAATAATCTAACCTATTATTAATAAAAATATATACATACAGCCCGCGACAAAAGATAGCACATCAAAATTTTTACCAGTTTTGACTACTTTTCTTTGCTTTTTTAAGGTTCATTAATTTTTTGTTAAAGTTAAGCTCCTTAACTAACAAAACCAATATAGGTCCAAATTAGAGACTTTGTACAAAAATTATAGAAATTGCATAAACTTTTCGTCCCAATCTTAAGCATTATAATTTTAATTTATAGAATAATTTGCACTTTATTATACTCGATTTTAATAAGCTATAAAATTGGATTATTCTAGAAATCAAAATTAAAATGCTTGGAATTGTGAAGAACAGTTTGTGGAATTTTTATAATTTTTGTAAAAAGTCTCAAATTTGGACTTATATTGGTTTTGTTAGTTAAGGAGCTTAACTTTAACAAAAAATTAATGAACCTTAAAAAAGCAAAAGAAAAGTATATACACAAACAATTTACATCTATTGGGGAGGGCCCAGTGAATTAGTAAACTGGGCGAAAGCATGCGCACAAGCTTTCACCCCCTCCGCCAACACCGTGAAGGCCTCTGCCATTGTTGCAGTTACGGTAGCCATTCGGTCTGTGGCAGCAGCCATTCTGCATATTGCCTCAGCATTGGAGCGGTTGGCCTCCGCGTTGGTTGCAGCACTTTCAGCAAGCTTCTAAGAAAATAAAAGTTTTATTAATAATTCAATACAAATACAATATTGAAAAAATTACCTTTTCTGATTCGGCCTGTGCCTCGGCAATTCTTAAAAATTTCGCCTTTGTTGGCGATTCTTCCGCACGTTTCCGCTTAGCGGTTCTGCGCGGTGTTTGCCTCGGCGTTTTCGGAGTTTCGCACCGAATTTCCGACTCGCCATCCGACACCGTTAGTGGAGGAATTACCATGGTGTCTTCCTCCATGACTAAGCGGAAATTTTCATCCGCCGCCCCCAATGTTAATTGCAGTTCCTAAAAATAGCATAATGAATATTGCAATATGATTAGCATATTGGCATGGGCTTTTAATACGGTACAATTCAACTTACCTCTTCCATGGGAATATTCTCCTGGACATCCGGTTGCCCCTCCATATAGCTGCTTCCCACTAGAGCTATTACCCGCTTCTCCAATTCGTTCAAGGGAGGCTGTTGAAGCGGTATATTCCCCGTCAATGCTTGCTCCCTCTTACGATCACGAACTCGCGTCGATGTTCGACTTTTTAGGTCGCGCCAGACCTTTTGCAAAATAGAAACACACTTTCATACTTTACTATTCTTTGGTGTAGGCCGTTTTCGGAAATGCCTTACTGCAAAGCACCTCTCCTTATACTTAAGTATATAATGATGTCTGATTTCAGCAAACATATTTTTGGAATAAGAGGTGCGATGTTTTGCAGTAATGCATTTCCGGAAATGCCCGTACTTCATCACTTATACTTACATTTTGCCATTGCTCCACAGATTTGGCAGCCCCCCCAAGAGAATTTAATTTATCTGCCATCTCTGCCCACTTCTTGGTGTTCTCCAACTTGCCATGGAGCTTCTGGAACTTGCCGCTCGCCACATTCGGGTTTTCACCCAGAAAGTCAAGCATCGCGCTTAACTGCTCCCCCGATGCACGGCTCCTTTTCGTCGGCTGGATAGACATCCTGAAATGAAAGAAGTTCTAGTAAATTCCAATTAATAACTAAAATAACTAAATACTACCTTTTAAAATTGCAATACGTTGCTGGCGCTAAAAATTCCGTTTCCGCGGGAAGGAAATAAGTTTTTTTTCTTATTCCTCTTTGTACTTTTCGCATATTTGACATTTATCTCGACTGAGATGCCACATTTCATCATTTTAAATAAAAAGGAATAATCAGCTGTTTTTCGCTGTTAAGCAAGAGTTAGAGAATCACACAATTGTTAGTGCAAACGGCAAAAGTTGTTATGTAACCTAACAATTTTTTTATTGCTAAGAGTTACAGAATCGCACTACNATACGTTGCTGGCGCTAAAAATTCCGCGGGAAGGAAATAAGTTTTTTTTCTTATTCCTCTTTGTACTTTTCGCATATTTGACATCTATCTCGAACAGGGGCGCACCCAGGAATATATTTTAGGGGGGTTTTATATTTCTGAAGATATATCACCGGAAAATACTGAAAATTTGCTTCAGATAATACGCTCTTTAAAATATATTTATGCAAGCTTTATGTACAGTATGTAATAAATAAATAAACGTTTTAAAATTCATAAACTGCACTTTATTTACAGATTAACAGAACTCAAACGCTTTTAACCGACTTCAAAAAAAGGGTGGTTATCATCTCGTCGGAATACATAACTTTGGACCACGTGAACCGTTTTCAATAATTCTTTTTTTATTAGAAAGAACGTACCTNTGGTTATCATCTCGTCAGAATACATAACTTTGGACCACGTGAACCGTTTTCAATAATTCTTTTTTTATTAGAAAGAACGTACCTCAAGGTTCGTCCCGTAATTTGTTTTAGAGATCCGATGATTGGATCATGAAGAAATTAACGGTACCCCTAAATTTGAATATGAGAATTGAAGTCGGTTGTGTTCTTTCCTTAAAAACTACTTGTTTAATAAAAAGTTCTATAAACTCAAGATTCGCTCAACTTTCAAAAGTACCTAATAAAAAATTTTAAAAAAGAGTCAGTAAAAATAAGTTTATTGATTCCATGAATTTTTGCTCTTCTATGTTCATTTTTTCGATTTCTGGTTTTCGATAGAGATGGCGACTTTTCACGATTGCTAAATTTTTTTAATATTTCAAATACCGAAAAAATTAACTGAACTCTCAAGAAAAACGAAAAATTCATATAAAACGACGGACGAGAAATGGAAAAGAAATTTTCTTAAATCAGTTTGCAGCTCTCAAGAAAAAAAAAATGCTTGTATATTTATTCCCTCATGAAGATTTACAGCAAAAGCAAAGCGCTTTTTCAAGCAACAGAAATTATAATAAATATTTCCTATAACTTCCTTGAGAGCTTGATTCTTAGCTTTAGGTTATTAGCTTTTGGGGGGGGGGGGGGTTGAACCCCAAAACTCACCCCTTGTGTGCGCTAATGATCTCGACTGAGATGCCACATTTCATCATTTTAAATAAAAAGGAATAATCAAGGAATCACACAATTGTTAGTGCAAACGGCAAAAGTTGTTATGTAACCTAACAATTTTTTTATTTTTAAGAGTTACCGAATCGCACTACTGATCATAATTTTTAAAAATTGCTGCTTGGTTTTTAAGATGTACAGACATATGTATATATATGTATATACTGAATATACTGAATATACGCGTTGGGCCTAAAAATATGCAACAATGGAATATTTCTTACCGCTCCTATTTGAACCAAAGAAGTATGTATGTACATATGTAGGGCTGCCAGACATCCCGGTTTTCCCGGACATGTCCCGATTTTAGACTATTTGTCCCAGTGTCTCGGCCCAACCTTAAAATGTCCCGGTTTTCGATTTGATTGCATAAATTTGAATAAAAGTTCCAAAATCACTACACTAAGAGAAAAAACGCGTTGTAATATTCAGAAAAATTTTGTGAATTCACTGAGGGAAACAACGCATAGTAAACATGAATATTTTTTATTTGATTATCGTTTTGAAATGTGCGTATATAAAAATAATACTTTCATGCCGCATACGCGTGGTGTTGATTCAAACTTAACATTTGAATGCACATTTACATGTCTGGCTGCAGCTGAGTGCAGCACATTACAGGCAGCATGGAATTTAAATATTTTTTCAACTTAATTATGACAGAGTTTTACAATTATATTAAGGAAAAGGCAGAAGTTTTGAAACAAGTTCACACCAACGAAAAATATGACTGATATTTTAATGTTATCTTGTACTTAAATTTTTTTCTTTCATGAAACGTACGTACGTAGGCGTACGTTGTAATGATAAACTGTTTTTAATAAAGAAGAAAAAAAGGTGCATGCATTGTGAAAAATTCTCTGTGTGATAAGTTGTTTTGTTTTGTTGGCGTACGTTGTAATTATCTCATGATCATGTTTTTATGTTTTTGTTTTTGTCTGTCAAAATAAAATTTTACAACATCCTTTCGCACGTAATTTTTGTCGAAACGAAAGGGACAGAGAAAATCCGAGGTATTTTTTGAGTTTAGGAAAAAATCTCGACGTGATGGAGCAAAACAGACTTCAGATTCGTGTTCAGCGACCCCACAAACATATCATAGACTAGGTTTGGTCTAAAGAACCTTTCATCGATTTTTTGTTGTGGACATGTGTAATTGATAAAACCTAACCTCAAAAAACACCTCGGATTTTCTCTGTCACGTAAAATCCGAGATGATTTACATCTTCTTATAATAATTATATGGGATTTTTAATTTTTTTTCTCGGAATATTTTTTTTTTAAGACGGAAATGATTTACCCCAACAAACATTTAGGTTTGAGCTCAACTTGAGGTTAAGTTGCGAACTAAGGTATTTCTCAAATCTCCGACGTTTTTTCTCAACGGTGCCTCAAGTGGAGGATTATAGCGTTCTCAACAAAAAGGGCATTTTTCTTTGTATGAAAAAAGGACTGTTTCTCAATTTGAGAAATTGCTATTTGTCAGCTTGAACTCCAATGTAATTCTCGAATTGGTCTCAATCATATCACTGAAATACTGAAATTTAAATAGTAAAATACCGTATACTTTTTGATTGAAATGACATACATAGATGAATTTAAATATTAATTTTTCATTTTATTACTCCTTATGTAGTATGTAGTTAATCAATATCTTATTATAATAATTCACTTCACAGTATACATACAGTCCGACAGTAAATTTGCCACTTGATTTACTTCGCGTTTTATTTTCTTTCAAGACTATTTGAGAATACTTTGAAGATTATTTCCTTTTTGTTGGTATTTTTCCCTTTATATAGCTTTAGTTTTTCACTTGATAATCAAAAATTCGATTTTCTATCCCTTTTTAGAGATGAGTTGGAGAATGATATTGGATATCAACTTGAGAACTATGAATTTCTCCAAGGTTGTAGAAAAATTTTTTTTTGGCGTTTATTGGGACGTCTTCTCGTAATAATTATATGAAATTTTTATATTTTTCGTCTCGTGGGGCGTTTATTTTAAGACGGAAATGATTTACGTCCCACTTTTTCTCTTAATGGAATTATTACAAGCACAGCCGGTTTCACAAAATTAAACGTTAATATCTCAGAGTTCGATTATTTTAATTTGATTTTCCAACATGCACAAGCACAGCCGATTTCACAAAATTAAACGTTAATATCTCAGAGGTCCATTATTTTAATTTGATTTTCCAACATGTGGCAACCCTTTGCAAAAAACTTAAACCACGTAAAAGCAAAGCTCTTCCGTTTGACAATCCTCAAAAATCGAACGATCGTGGCGTTAAATATTTAACGCGTTAAACCTCCGAACTTAATTAAGAAGCCTCAGTTCAATAAAAGTCCCATATAATTATTATGAGAAGACGAAAATAATTTCCATCGTAGAATAATCATCCCGCGAGACAATAAGAATAAAAGTCCCAGAAAATTATTAAAAGATAAAAAAGTTGTAATCTAACGATTTTCGTCTCAGGAGACGAAAATAACTTTTCCATTGTTCAGTAATAATTATACAGCAACAATTAATTTAATTTGTTTCTTTATTTCTTCTATGTGAATTAGGACCCTTGGCACTAATTATAAACAAAATAAGAGCATTTTGAAAAACCTCCTTTCCAGATTATTATCGGAGTACTCCCAAAATACTCCATCTTGGTTATCTTCGGATGAATTAAGGAGTCCTTTTATCAAAATCATAGGCGAATAAGAGTCCGCACGGAGTCTTTGCGGATTATCTGTGTGAGGTCACTCTTTTATTTTTTTTCATTGATATTGAGAATGCCCTTTTCTCCAGCGCACAGAAGCGTATTTGGCCGATTTAGGCGGCCAAAAGTCGAATTTTCCAAACGCACTTTTTTCTTTTTAACTGAACTGGTATCGCCCAGTGGTCGAAATTCGACCACATCACTTATTTCATACACTTTTTTATTTTGCTTGTGACGATTTTAAGCTCCATCAGCACCTGTTTTCTTCTATGTCACTAATATTGTTAGGTGGGGCTATATACCTTCGGTTTAGTAATCTTATAATTCATTGGCACAGAAGGGAGAATTATATTTGTATGGGAATTCGAATGCGTAATCTATATATATAAAGCAGTGCCCGCCAAACACTTTCCTGGGAAACGAACTATATTCGGCCTTTCACATGTAAACAATCGGCTTCTTACACGTACACAATCCGAACGTCAACAGAAAGAGTAGAAGAGCAACAAATTTTATTTAGTTGCATGCAAACAATAGGCGTAGCAGGTTCATGACGCATTATTGTTGAATAAAGTAGGTACCTGAGCAGAATGAATGAATATTCATTAAAAAATTTTATAACACAATTTTTCGTACATACACCCCTAGAAATAGGTATGTATATGGTACCAAGTCGTGCTTTTTCTTCATATTAAAAGAACTTTGTGAATTATGTATTTTTTTTTAATACCAGACTAGTCCTCAATTAAAACATACAATATGTTTTTTTATTTATCTTTTGGTTTAATCGTTATTTTAAATTGTTCTTAAAGGTCAAGTTTTACCTAATTTTAAAATAAATATATATTAGATATATATATTTTTATTTTATTTCTACTTGAAATCAACGAAATTTTCTTTTAATATTCAGAGTGCTCGAAGCACGTTATCTTCTTTGCTCAGAAATCCACACTTAAATTATAAAAAAATAATAATAATTTTGTACAATACATACAAAATTTTACCAACTTTTTCCTTTCTTAGGGCCGTTAACTTTCATTATATGTTTCTATGTTGTTTAGATCTAAAAAATAGCGCACAATGAAAAAACGGCAAAAAACATACCAAAGTCCCCTTTCAGACACGTCA